AGACCAACACCCACCTCGCTACAACCTCCTTTCAGGTAGTTGTAGAGAGTGATGAGGTCTCCCCTCAGCCTCCTTTTCTGCAGGCTAAACAACCCCAGTTCCCTCAGCCGCTCCTCAGCAGACTTGTTCTCCAGACCCCTCACCAGCCTCGTTGCCCTTCTCTGGACACGCTCCAGCACCTCGACGTCCTTCTTGGAGTGAGGGGCCCAAAACTGAACACAGTATTCGAGGTGCGGCCTCACCAGGGCCGAGTACAGGGGCACGATCACTTCCCTGCTCCTGCTGGCCACACCATTTCTGATACAGGCCAGGATGCCATTGGCCTTCTTGGCCACCTGGGCACACTGCCGGCTCATGTTCAGCCGGCTGTCGACCAGCACCCCCAGGTCCTTTTCCGCCAGGCAAAGTGAACATTTATGCAAGGCACCGCTATGCCGCACTTGCCGGATGATTTCCGTCACGTCCCTGAGAAACCGGCTCCTTCATCTTACGCAAAATCCTTCAGCGCTTTTTTTCCAGTTACGACGACGAATTGACTACTTTCTCATGAGCCGAGAAGCCACAAGACGACTGTGGTGCTCTCACTGCAAGGAGTTTCTCCAAAAAGCCTTTCCATCTTATTTGAAGTTTTAGACTTTAAAAACTTGTTGATTATACCCAATTTGAAATAGATATCTACCAGCAGAATTTTGACACTATTTTAATAATTTTAGTATGTAACATTACTGCCTTCCCAGCATTATAATATAGATCAAAGAGCCCCCCAGGGCTGCAAATTCATCTTTGCTACCTTAAAATATAATTAACAAACATTGTTTTTTGCAAAAAAACCCCTTCCCTCAAAATGATGTACACTCAGCAAATTTAGGGCTTTCACTTCCCTTCCTTTTAATTTGTGCAAGTGTTTAAAGGCTTTTCCAATATATTAAAATACATACTTTTTCTAATGCTTAGGTCTAAGCATCAGCTCTGCACAACGCAAGAGAGAATTGCTTCAATTTTCAATTTGAAATTTGCATTTATCACATCACAGCCAAGTTAAGGCTCTGAAAGACCACGTTTGAAGTCTCTCACTGGGTGTATTGAACTATGGTAAAATCCCCGACAGGCAGTAAAGAGAGAAAGAACTATGTAAAGGCACAGCGGTGGTTCCTTCAAATGGAAAGGATTAAGAGATGACCACTCTGTTCCCCAACAATAAATTAATACGTTCATTTCTAACTCGGATACACAACTCTGCTCCACTCAGCACTCATGTTCTCTCAATTCTGTGAGAAATCCCAAGATGCGAAACACGAAGGGTGCACAGAACAGCGTAAGAATCTGATCTCTTTTCCCCAGGAAACTCAAAAAACAGGTAAATCGCCAGAGGAAGAGAGACTTCACCTTGTAAGAGGAGGTCTACAGACAGTTCTCAGGCTGTAGAGAAATAATTGGTGTCAGGTCTCTTGTCAAAACCTCTAATAAAAAGTAAAAAAAAAAATTTACTTCCATCATTTGGAGGGATGAGGACTTTCATAGCTGAGGCAGGAACAGTATTTATTGTACCCCCAAATCTCTTTATGCCCTAGTGAAATCAAGTACAGGGACACAAGACATTTGCTTTAACTCATCCCCAAATTGCTCCCCATGAATCTCTATTTCAGTCAAGACATAAGATGCAGAAACTAAAGGTTATTGCAGGTATGCAAAATGTGATGAAGCGAAGATGAAAAAGTGGTAAAGGAGGATGCTGACGTGTTTTAATTGGGAGAAAAAGATTGTTGGATTTGATACAATTCAGTATTTGAGGGGAGGTAGGCTGGAAATATGTTTTTACATTCTCATGCATTTTTAATAAAGGATCTACTTGGGATTTCCTAGCAAAGGGAGAACGATAGCAGGGACTGTAAGAGTATCTCCATCAGGCACACACGATAGGTTAGATCAGCATTTTCCTTTTCACAGACTGAAGCTGTCACGTAACTGATACAGTGATCCCTTAACAGTTTGGTTACAAGCCACAGACAGAATATTCTGGTACTACCAAGAAGAATACAAATACACCCACACAAACATAAAGATATGGCCAAAATGAATCATTCCTAGTTGAAGGCTTTA